CCAGGAAATCCAAATAAGAAACAAACACACTTACAAAGATTAAAGGGTTGTGTGAGGGGTTGAATGAAAAGTTCAACTAAGATTCTCTCATAAATAGACAAAGTTTAGTCGAATAGTTCGACGAGGGTGGGGTGAGGGAGATAAAGGGTATCATAGGGTCTGTTAGATTTCTATGTCCCAAGTGTGGATAATTATCTCTGGTTGTGTAGTGTGTGTGGTTTCAACACCAACCACAAAACATTCAATTGAAACCGATAAACGATTTAAATGTTTTTCTTTTCATTTGACATTTCCTACCCCACCCCACCGCACCATCAGCCACGAAGTTTTCTTTGTGGTCAGTCAGTCTTTTGTAATCGTAAATATGAGTCAGAGACAATTGCAGGGTGATAAATTTTGTGGCAAAGAAAATGTGTGTGTGCGTGTGTAGTCACTCTATGGGAAAAAGGAGAGGTGATAAAATATAAGGAAATCACAGCACTTTTTTTCAATCGGTTTAGCCGTGGGAGATTGGTGCACCTTTTACAGGAAATCGGAGGAAAATAAATATGGAAGATATAGCGAAATCTGAACTGATTTGAACACACATCATTCTACCCTCAATTCAATACGCTATGCAAAATTTCTTTGCAATCGGACAAATATCTTGACTTTGGTGCACCTTAAATCGGACGAAAATATATATAGGAGCTATATCTAAATCTGGACCGATTTCAACGAAACTTAACACGCATCATATTACACTCAATTCTATACGCTGTACAAAGTTTCGTTGCAATCGGACAAACATATCGAAATCTGAACGGATTTCAATAAAAGTTAAGACAGGCTCAATTTAATATGCTGTGCAAAATTTCGTTGCATTCGGACAAAGATCGGGACTTCGGACAAAGATGGAAGCTATATATGAATCCGAACCGATTTCAACAAAATTTGACACACGTCATTCTATGCGGAAAATAAAATGCTAAGAAAAATTTCGTCGCAATCGGATATACGTAGGGCCTTTGATGCACCAAATGCATAAAATCGGGCGAACATATATATGGGAGCTATATTTAAATCTGAACCAATTTTATCAAAACTTGATACACCTAATTCTTGGCTCAATTCAATACGTGAAAATCGAACAAATTCAGGGTCCTTGGTGCATAATTTACCTGAAATCGACCGAAAATATATATGGGAGTTATATTTTAATCTTATCCGATTTCAACAAAACATAACACATGTCATTCCAGGCTTAATTCAATACGCTGTGCAAAATTTCGTGGCAATCGGATATACGTAGGGTCTTTGGAGCACCATTTACTATATTATATATGGGAGCTATATCTAAATCTCAACCGATTTTCACCAAATCCGATCGGGACATGCATAAATAGACTCAGAAAAAGATTCTATGTATATCCGCAAAAGCAATTAGGGGTCTATCTAGTTTACTTTTGCCTGTTACAAATATATTGTACCATCACAGTATAGTGAGAAGTAAAAAATTGTCATTAGGTTCTGTCGGGATCGGAACTTTTATATGTAATGCTAAGTAATGATATTTTGCTGCTGAGAGAAAACCAACTTTTAAACTAGAGGCACTCACGTTGAACCATAAATGGCCTAGGACCTACCACATACCAAAAACCAGTAAGGAAAGTAGTAAAGTCGAACGGGGCCGACTATATGATACCCTTCACTACTATCGGTATATTGAAACCATTGAGCGGAGCAGTATAGTCGGACGGGGCCGACCAACTACTCTAACTTTCTGCGAATGTTTATTCCGAGCCTGGGCAATAATTTCGTGATATTTGTAGCCTCTTGCCCGATTAGAGGTCAAGATCACCTCTCCTTTACACTGACATATTTTCCGAACCCTTCTAATTACTTGTCCAGATTCTATTTACCGTGGCTGTGTTGTGATGTTCGGCTTATAACTGTGATCTACATAGATCGATTCGACAAAAACAAAAAAAAAAAAAAAAAATTTGGTCCACTTCATCCCGAAATTATAAAGTGACCATTATCGAATATTATAGGCATTGTCCTTGATCATAACTGGAACCTCATGGAATATTTCAAAGCGATCAAATCTATATTTCCGCCCTCTAGTGTGGTAATGAATTACTAAATAATTTATGAGTACGTAAGCACCTGTAAATATTTAAATGAAACTCCCACATCCGAGTATATACGACAATATAATTGATATCAATGATAGCATATCCACTCCTCTTGGATATACTATCATCTTCTCGGGCCTATACCCTTCAGAGATAAATCTATATACTATAGAATACACATTTTGTGATTTTTCACACGGGTCAATTTGACCCGCTAAATACTCAGCGATCTTTATTAAAACAGGCATGCTTATACTTTGGCCCGATCCCCTTCTCCATGTAAAAATTCGCAGCCTCTGAAGCGACTAGAAAATCAGACAAAAATAAAGTTTTTGGTCCATTTCACCCCCTAAATAATTACCGATCTTTTCCAAAAACAATAGGGGTCTTCATTGGCCAGAACTGATTCTACATGCAAAATTTCGTGAAGATTGGTCCATAACTGTGGCCATAATGTGTTTCCGAATTATAATGGACAGACGGACGGACATACATGTCTAGATCGACTCAGCTAGTCGAGATATGACGATCGATATACTTAAAGGTGTATAAATGGAGTCCCTTTTTCGTTATTTTCCCTGAGGTAGACTTTCCACTTCTTCACTAGCAGTTTCTTCTTTTTTTCCTTTTTGTTGTTTTTCTGCAGATGAAAGGTGTTGTGAACACGCTGTCTCAACCTTTGTGAGATACAGTTGTTGGCTTAACTTTGATTGTCTCACGTGGGGAGGCAATGCTTGCCACTAGCTATCTCAGAGCGTCTATGAAATTATAGCTGTCTCAGTTCAGTTTACCGTATGCATTATCATCTTCCATGTTCGTCGATTATTGCGAAACAGATCTCGCCTGTATAGTCCCTCCAAACTATCTTCGGATAAAATGGCGGCTCTTTGCCAGTTACTACTGCAATCTTCGCACAGTGTGGTCAGATTTTTTGGATTCCCGGACATAACGAAAGATTCCGATGCAATGCTCACCTGCTGGATATTAGAACCAGTTTTGCCATCCTTTATCGATACATTTTCGTGGCAGTCTTCTTAAACTTTAGATTGTCTCAGCTTTTAGTACAAGGGGGTGTAGTAATTTTTGGTGCGCGAATAAACCCTTAAGTGTTTTTTAAATATTTTTTTTTTTATTTTTTATAAAAGGATTTTCTAAAAACATATATTTAAAGCAATAACATTATAGTGGGGATTTCAATATTTCAAGAACCATTATTAAACCAGTAAGGAAAGCAGTAAAGTCGGACGGGGACGACTATATGATACCCTTCACCACTTTGGGTATATTCAGCAGATGAATCCTAACAGACGTCGAATTTTTCACGAAACTTAGCACACACCATTATATACTTAATTGAGTACGCTACGCCAAATTTCGTGCATATCGAAAGATATATAGGAACTTTGGTGCACCATTTACCTTAAATCGGACGAAATTATATATCGGAGCTATATCTAAATCTGAACCGATTTTTTCCAATTTCAATAGGGTTCGTCCTTGGGCCAAATAAGGGACCTATGCCAAATTTCATCCAATTCGGATCATAAATGCGACCTGTACATTGTTTACAATTTAACATGGGCAGACGGACGGACATGCATAAATCGACGTAGAAAGTGATTATATGCATATTCTCAAAAGGAACCATGTGTTTATCTCGTTTCCTTTTGCCTGTTACAAACATATGCACACAGATATAATACCCTGTACAACAGTGTGGTGTAGAGTATAAATATCCTAATAATTCTCAGACTCTTACAGGCCTTTTCCACCTACCTTAGCATTGTTTACCAGTTGTTGCTATCATCTTCCTCCTTCGTATAGTCCGATTAGTGTATTTGGGATTCTCGGTATGTTCGCTTTTTTCTCCGCGTCATCCTGGCTAGATTCCGCTGCTGCTCCATTCTTGTCGTAAGCTAAATAGTGTCATTGCTCACTTCATCCACCATCATATTAGCCTCTTCGCTCCTCCGGCATTCTAGAAAAGTTCTGGTTTTGGTTTTACTTCTGACCTGACATTTCGAGTCCCCGTCTATCTCGGAAGGTTGGGTCGAGACTGCTCTACCCCGGTGGTTCTTGAAATCAGATAGACTTTGGCCACATGCTTGTAGCCATACCATCGATGCCAAGACACCCACTTCGTTTTAAATCCACACAAGGTGTGGATTTAAAAAAAATTAGGATCTCCAAAGGCGTCGATTTTTGAAAAAATATTTTTAAGGGTCAACAAGAAGGTGTGGATTTAAAAAAAAAAATATTGTTACAAAGAAAAATCATTCAATGTTTCTTTATGTCTTAATACCTTTACGTGTTTTTTGTCATTTCAGTTCAGCCACCAGTAATCGCCTGCGATGGATAAACGACACAGATCTGCCCAAGACCCTTCAAACTTTGGATTTACGTGCAAATCCCATATCACAAATTAGGCCGGGCGCATTAAAAGGCATGGCGAAGTTAAGGAAATTGTAAGTAAAAATTAATTTTAAATTTTTCGAATATAAACATTATGTACATCGTTATAGGATCCTCTCCGATGTACGCTTTCTAAAAATATTTCCCGATTTAGAGGGTAGCTATTCATTGGAAATATTGAAACTGGATCGAGCTGGTATCGTGGAAGTACCAGGAAATTTATGCCATCAAACACCAAGACTGAGAAGTTTGTAAGTAAAATCGAAAAAAACTGGATGTTCGATGTTTGATCGATCATGTTGGCAACGAACTTGTTCGACAGCATATTAAAAATTTCTGGTTTTTATTATTTTTTCCAGAGAGCTAAAAACCAATTCCATACGAACCATTCCCACATTAGCACATTGCAGAGAATTGAGACTGTTGTAAGTGGCCATAGGATCTGGGAGATGCATTTAAGCGAATTTTTAATCATTTTTGGTATTTTTCCTTAGAGATTTATCAAGCAACCTTATAGACAATTTACAAGGACGTCCATTCCAAGGCTTAAAACAATTACATGATTTATTATTATCATATAATCACATCAAAACAATACCTCACGATGCCTTTCAGGGCATAGCCAAATTACAATTATTGTGAGTGGAATTTTAGGAGAACAAAAAACGGTTATAAGGAAAAAATAAATATTAAAAAAAAAAATTGAAAATTATTTTTTTGTACTATAATAAGCTTAAAATCATTTTAAAACCTGTTTCATATATCCGAATATTTCTTATAAACGAGTTTCTTATATCCGATTTTTTTCTTATATCACATATTAATCAAAATTTTGAGCTAAAACTATTTTTAAATTGATTTTGGTGTATGAGATATTTTTTATAACTGAGTTACTTATATCCGAATATTTTTTTGCTTATAACCGGTTTTTTGTTCAAATCTGAAAATTTAGATAATTTTATAAAAAAATATTTTTTAGAGACCTAGAAGGTAATCAAATATCGTATATCCACAAAGATGCCTTTGTGGGTTTCTCCTCGCTGGAGGATTTGAATTTGGGCAACAACATCTTTCCCGAACTGCCATCGAATGGCCTGCAAAGGCTGTTGCATCTGAAAACCTTTAATAATCCAAAATTACGTGACTTTCCTTCGCCGGAAACATTTCCTCGTATTCAGACGCTAATATTGTCCTACGCTTATCATTGTTGTCCTTTTATACCGCTGGTGGCAATGTCGGCAAGTAAGAAGCCTCCACTGGTGCAGGAGGCTGTACTATTTCCCTCCGATGCGGAATTTGATATGAGCCTGTGGAATAACAGTATGATGGATATATGGCCACAATTGCGTAAGTATTTTAGGGGATTTTTTAAAAATTATTTTTAAGGACCTACCATAAGGCGTGGATTTTTTAAAAATTATTTTTAAGGACCTACCATAAGGCGTGGATTTTTTAAAAATTATTTTTAAGGACCTACCATAAGGCGTGGATTTTTTAAAAATTATTTTTAAGGACCTACCATAAGGCGTGGATTTTTTAAAAATTATTTTTAAGGACCTACCATAAGGCGTGGATTTTTTAAAAATTATTTTTAAGGACCTACCATAAGGCGTGGATTTTTAAAAATTATTTTTAAGGACCTACCATAAGGCGTGGATTTTTTAAAAATTATTTTTAAGGACCTACCATAAGGCATGGAGTTTTTAAAAATTATTTTTAAGGACCTACCATAAGGCGTGGATTTTTTAAAAATTATTTTTAAGGACCTACCATAAGGCATGGAGTTTTTAAAAATTATTTTTAAGGACCTACCATAAGGCATAGAGTTTTTAAAAATTATTTTTAAGGACCTACCATAAGGCATGGAGTTTTTAAAAATTATTTTTAAGGACCTACCATAAGGCATAGAGTTTTTAAAAATTATTTTTAAGGACCTACCATAAGGCATGGAGTTTTTAAAAATTAATCTTAAGGACCTACCTTACCTACCTTAAGGCCCAGGCATAGGTTTTTTTAATTTCTTAATTTCTTCTTTTTCTCCCTTTCCAGATAACTTGAGCAAAAAATTCGGCACCGAAATGCATGATATATGGGATAATTTTGGCCAAGATTTCACCTATCCCGGCAATATACCCACCTATATGGAAGAATATTTCGAAGAGGATGGCACGGGAATAGGTACTGGCACGGGGTCGGGCAACATGCAATCGGCCACGGGGACGGCCAGTACCTTTGCCAATTCGTTTGGAGGTGGTGGCCTCTTTGCCACAATTGGATCGGAACATACTCCGGGTAGCATACAATGCCTGCCTATGCCTGGACCCTTTTTACCCTGTGCCGATTTATTTGATTGGTGGACGCTGCGCTGTGGTGTGTGGGTTGTATTCCTCTTGGCCCTGTATTTGGGTATCCTGGCCATTGTGGATGCCTCCACATTGGGAGAGTTTCGTATGTTTGCCATACCCTGGCAAATGTCGGTAATGTGTCAAATTGGTGGCTTCTTGGCGGTGCTGTCGTCGGAACTGTCGGTCTACACCCTGGCGGTGATTACCTTGGAGCGGAATTATGCCATAACCCATGCAATACATTTGAATAAACGGCTATCGCTGAAACAGGCTGCCTATATTATGGCAGTGGGATGGACTTTTGCCCTGGTCATGGCCGTGTTGCCACTGGTTGGTGTATCGGATTATCGGAAATTCGCCGTGTGTCTGCCGTTCGAGACCACCACAGGCATTGCCAGTTTGAGTTATGTGATAGCTTTGATGTTTATCAACGGCTGTGCATTCCTCACCCTGATGGGCTGTTATTTGAAAATGTATTGGGCGATACGAGGGTCTCAGGCCTGGAATACGAATGATTCCAGAATTGCCAAGAGAATGGCTTTGTTGGTGTTTACGGATTTTTTATGTTGGTCTCCGATTGCTTTCTTTTCGATAACGGCGATTTTTGGTCTGCAGTTGATATCCCTGGAACAGGCAAAGATTTTCACGGTCTTCATACTGCCACTGAATTCGTGCTGTAACCCCTTTCTCTATGCGATTATGACGAAGCAGTTTAAAAAGGATTGTGTAAATCTGTGTAAGCACTTCGAAGAGACAAGGGTGACGAGAAGTGCTGGGGCCATGGCCCGAGGTAGGGGTATGACAACGGGAGAGAGATTACCTAAAGAGTTACCACCCCTACTGCCGGCAGTACATCCACCGGGATGCCGATGTCTGCGCATGATGCCCGGCGAGATGCCCATTTGGCATCGTATCCAAGAAAAGGAAGGTTCCATATGGTCACGCAGTTGGCAGCGATTATGGGCATGGTGTTCCTGTTGTGTCACCTGCTGTG